GCAAGAGTTTTCTTGCTGAGCAAACTTGCACCCACTGCTAATTTCTTGTCGCCCGTCAAAAGTTTAGTTGCAGGTGTCAATGGGCTGCACAGATACCAAAGCCAAAATTGTAAGGCTCCAGGGAATAAAGGCTGAGCATCATTGGTGACTTACTTTGGCCTCTTAAATCATTAGAAGGATGACACCTTACATTTTCTGTTCATCCTAAATCCCCTAAGAAAAGGAAGCTTCATTTTCATGCCATTTTAACATGGAGAAAAAGTATATTTCCTCAATTAATTGTTCTTCGTGGAAATAATGAGCGTTCATTAATGAATTTGAGATAGTGTGGGACTTTGTCCAGCTCTATGCCTCTCTTTGTTCTTTTGCTAAGTGCTGGGAAATTTGAACAGTGATTTTTCCCTTCTTTCTCCCCCTCTGTCCTTAGGCAGTAGAAGATGCTAATAACAGCGGCATGAACCTGCTGGACCAGTCGGTCATCAAAAAAGGTATGGGTAACTTTTCAATTGTTGCACAGTTTGTTGAGTATTTGTGGGCACTGTACAGAGGCAATTTCAGGCCTACTTGGAAGTAAGCTTCACGAGGGGCTTTCTTCCAGGTAGCGTTGAGGATGGGATTATGTGCTTTGTACACAGAGAAAGCTATTCAAGTTCCAGAAAGGAAGCCCTTGTATCCTGATTTGATTCAATATTTGCAACATGACGGTACCATTCTAAAGTATGGGGGACATACTAAACGAAGCAGCCCATTGGCTGGAATCTTACCCACCCTGCTTGTGTGAAGCTTTTTCTCTAGTTCTAGGAAATAACTTTCCCTCGTTGCTCATTGTCGTTGTGGGAATTAGCATAACCTGCAAGAGGCCAAATTCTTGACCAGGGTGCTTTTGGTTTCACTGGAGCTTCTTTCCAAGCAATATTTAGGGTTGTGTGAATAAGAGCAGAATCTGCTTCCACAGAGGAAGTATAATTTTCCAAGATGGATGCAATATCTGTCCTATTGTTTAAGTTTAGCTCCTGGGAAGCGGGGGAGATGGGGATTCCACCTTTTTTGTGGGCATGTACCTACGGTATATCTAGATAGGAAAGATTTGATCCATCGCCCAGAGCAGAAGGCTGCACTTGGGATGACAGCAAGGGCACAATCTCTTCTATGTCAGGGGGATTGGTGGGGGGCGGGGCGTTGGTCTTCCTTGGCGATACGTTGGGGCTTTTTTTAGCCTCCCGGTACTTTTGGGCCAGAATGCGGGGACCGAGTCTCTCTGTTCAGGAGGAAAAGGCGAGGAGAGGGGGATTCCCCCCGCACTCCATTTGTCTACACAGGCATACGTGATTTAGTGTAAGTGTGCGGCTTCGCCCCACTCTAGTAGAGGGAACGTGATCTTAACAAATGTTTGCAATCTCTTGTACAGCTGTAAGCAAAATAATTAACTAATTAAACTAATTAAATGTAATTACAATAACTCATTTTGGGCGTATTGCAGCTGCTTCATGCCCACCCCCTCCTTCCCGTTTTGAATTTCTTTGACAGGCAGGCTCGGGGAGAGACACGCCTCCTCCCTGCGCAAAGCTGCGGGAGGAGGGAAGGAGCGAGCTTTAATTAGCAGCGGAAAGGCGCGCTGAAATTCAGCTGGTCTCCCCGAGAAGTGGGGAAAGCGTATTCCTTGTTATCTCTGTGCTTACCCCAATGGGAACAACCTTATCCGAACTAATGGGACTTTCCCCCTCACCTAGAATTCTTGTTTGTGAACAAATTAAGCCGATCTCGGGGTTTAGGCCAGTTCGAGTGCTTTCTCCGCCCTTCCAGCTCTCGGGTGGAATTAGGACCTGGTCTTGTCTCACGCATGGGGCGTCTGCGTGCTCCGCAGGCTGACTTGGATGCTCCAGAGGCTTGGGATCCGACTGGGTGTAGCCCGGTCCAAAGTCGCGCAGGCAACTCGCTCTGCTACGGGCCACCTGTCGTAAGATCCCACTGATCTCCCCAGGTTTAACTTGGGATCTAGTTTTCTCGCCAGTCAATTTTGAAACCAACCTTCCAAGAGAGTTCATAAAACTCCTGCTTAATAAGAGGCGTTGTTCTGGAATGGCGAGGCAGAATTTGGAAAATAAACATCAGTTCAGGAACGCTTGACCTAAGTAACTCCATTCTTTTCGGATCCTTAAGTAAATGGGAGTTGGGTAACAAGCAGAATATGGAGACGCAGCGGTGATGTCACCTAGATGCTGCTTGCTATTCTGATGCAGCCTTCAGAAATCAGCTTGAAACTGATTTCTGCTCATCTACTTCAATAACTCAATCTAGATACTGTTGCTTGAACAGAGAACGCAATCCGAAGTATCTTCACCCATGAACGTTAAGGGTGTTTAGGATTGGAAAATAGGCCTTGAGGCATTTTCTTAGAAGTGATTGATAGCATCGCCCTAACTATCGCTGTGGTGGCCACAGAAGCCTGCCTTCATTATTATGTCGGCCCCGCGATGGGTGGATAACGCTGTAAATCACGAGTGAAGAAATGGCCTTGGTGGGGCTTACTTTGGAATAAATAGTCTAGGAATAGAGTGTTTATTGGACATCTGTTTCCCCAAAAGCCTCTGGGTTTAATTTCCAGGTGAATAAGTTTATTATCCTCGTCTTGAAATGTATTAACTATTCTTTATAAATATCTCCTGGGAAGGTAACTCCTTCTCTAGCTTGAGAAAGTCCGTCACCCCGACGCTAGGTACCACCTACTAACCTCTATTGTCCACTAAATCTCGGGTCGTGGGGCTTTAACTTGGTTAACTGAGCAGTTACTCGTTCAATTAATTAACTATGTCCAGGTTCGCACAACACATTTGGCTAAAATACCTCGGCTAATTTATGGTTCTTCTGTTTCGTTGTTTTGGGCGTTTGCTACAACGAAGTGGAGCGTCCCTGTTGGAATGGCTCCTTTCTCTCCCATCCGCGGAATCCATGGGAAATGGGGCTGCTGACTCCTCTCTTACCCAGACCTCTCCTGGTTTTCCTACCTAGCACAAAAATATTGGCCTCGGAATGTGTGGCCCTCCTTTTTCTCCCAGGTCGCTTTTTCTACATTTTAATAGAAATTAAAACTTCTCTACAGTTATCCACGTCTTCCCTTGTCTCCCAGATTAAAAATATACAGCTAACCGGGTTAAAATCCAAGTAAAAGTTTAAGATAGCAACCTGTCCTGTAACCGGAGCAATAATAGTTCATATGTTACATGATACATCAGTGTTTCTCAACCTTGGCCACTTGAAGATATCTGGACTTCAACTCCCAGAATTCCCCAGCCAGCGAATGCTGGCTGGGGAATTCTGGGNAGAACCCAGAATAATGCCAAATTGGCAGGTTCGCGTTTCATTCTATCCCGGAAGAAAATGACCCATGCAGTTGAAAACCCATCCTCTTCCTCAAACACATTGGTAGTAAACCTACCAATGAAGAGAGTGGGATCTTGTTTAGACAACTGTGGGTCTTCGGAGAGCCGCTCTAGGACTTCTGAGCCGGTGAAACTCTTTTTACATTCTTAAAGTTCACCTGAAACCATAAAAGGAAAGAGGGAAAAGGAGCAAGGCAACACTTTATCACTTTAACCTTAATCACTTTATGGGAGCTACTAACTTCCTCCCAGCTGAGAGGTTGCGGTGGGCAAGTCCCCCACCCCAGATTTAATAGCACTGCAGATGCAAGAACTACTGATGTGGTTCACCCATCACACACTGACTGAGTGCTGGGGATGGGATATGGTGTTCTGGCTGAGTTTAGGGGTCAGTGTAGGATGCAAACCCCTTTTGTGATGAGGAGCTATATAAATGGAAGGAAGTTTGTGATGCATTCATGCCAATGTGCCACTGCCAAGAAAAGCCACAAAGTAAAATGTGGCCCAAGATCACAACCTCTCTGAAGGCAGGGAAATTTCCAGATGGTGCAAATGAGTCTTTGACATTGGAACTGGAAGAAGGCTGCTTGCAATTCTGTCTGTTCAATCTGTCGTGCCTGCTTCCAGGTCATTGTATTTGGGACCAAATTATAAGTGACTGGAGCTGGGTGATGCAGAAAACCTTGAATGGCTGTCAGCCAAATGGAGAGTCAGAATTGTAGGCCTTGGTTTAGGGCACAAGGTGTCTAGAACCATACTTGGCCTCTTAGTGGCTCAGCCCCAAAACTCTGGAGTGGGTTGTTTTCATACACATATGTTCAATTTACAGTTCTATGTTGAATCTTGTTCCTTGACTATCATGCATAATTATTGGGAGTCCTGCTCAAAGCTTGCTTATGCTCTCTGAAGCTCTGAATGAGCCTAGGGCCTTGAAGGAACAAAGTTAATTCCTTGGATTTCAGCTGTCCTTTTCTGAAATATGACTGTGGTTACATTTATGGTTAATTGAACAATGGTTTGCTCAACACTATTTTCTGAATTTCTAGGATGTACTGAATTAATTACCATGGTTGGCTTCACACAATGCCTTGATCTAAAATATATTAACTATTTCTGAGATAATGGGCAGTGTGAGACAGCCTATAACTTTTATAAAACAACAACCTAAATTGATGTAAACTTAAGGGAACTTAATATTTAAGTTGAGCTGAAAAGCAAAAGAGAAAGAGCAAGAAAGAGCAAGAATATCAGGTTCTTGCTATGTATAAGAAAGTGGGGAATGATATATTCTAGTTACATTTGGCCTCTCTATTCTTCTTTATCACTGAGCCATGATAGCTAATTTGTCTATTTAATGGCAGAGAAAACAGGGAACCTACTTCTGAAATTAAGAATCTGTGTTGATAAACTGAGGCAGATTCAGGCAGGCTGTGTTCATACAATTGTAGCAGGAAATGTTTCTGATACAAATGGGAGGGACTTAATTGATTGAAGGGGGGATCCCCTGCTCCTTTCAAGATGCTTCTGTCCACTTCGAGTTGCTACATGTAAGGAGCTGCAATTATCATTCAGGAGAATGTTAAGAGCACAGTTCCATTGCTTAGCAGCAGAAGCCCCTTCATCCCATAGGACTGGTTCCCAAGAGAGTACGATATGGTGCAATGCTGCCTCTGCCAATATGGAAAGGGCACCTCCCCAAAATGATGCTCTTCTGAAGTGCTTGAAAACATTTCAGCAAAAGGCATGAGGTTTACATGAGCTGCATGTCATGAAAGCTAATTACTTCTAATGAAATGTATTGGTCAGAAATACATTGGCTGTTTGGCTGTCAGTCTTGATTTCTTTTTGCCACCTTACGCTAACATGGCTCTCCCCTTACAATGTCCAAAAGTGTTGGTCTCCTACCATCCCTACTGGCTAGTGATTAATCAAAGTTTACCATTCTTTGATTTGCATTCTAAGCACACCAGATACAAATTTATCAGCCTTTGGTAAATAACAAAGCTCAGGCTACCTGAACCAATATTAAAATTAATCCTCATTGGAGCTCTAATTCATTTTTTGTATACATGGCGGTTCCCTGTAAAAGTTGAGGGCCTCTTGCTTCC